AAAAGGACTTGCCTTGTCTTTCAACACAAACTGCAGATCATTCTGCAGTTTCAGGACCAGCTTCTCTGATTCCGAAAGCTTTTCCACAACTTCAATAATCTCCTTCTGTAATCGACTGTTTTCCTGCAAGACACAGGCCAGCATTTTGCCAGGCTTTGGGAGTGGAGGAGGAAGCTATTGGAAGGTCTGTCTCCTCTCTGAGTGAGAGGCTTATTTCTGGTCGCACTCATAATAATCAGGGAAGAAACCTAGTGGTATCTGATAGTCACTGCCTTGGCACCATGCAGAGGAAGCTATGCTGGGGGCTGATCCAAGCTGCCCAGGGACAGACCCCGCAAAGCCCTCAACAATGCTCAGTGCTTTCCCCATTGCCTCTGCTTCTCCCACTCCAAGTGTTTGCGTCAGGAGTATCACAAGAAAAGGCTGGTGGCAAGTCCTTCTAAGCCATTTTCTAAATGAGGGATTTGAAACTGCACCACTGCAGGTCAGATGTCCTTGGGGGAGGAAGGCAGTGTGTTCGGACATGGGAAACCAGTGAGAAGTGCAGTGAGGACATAATGCAGTGACAGCCCAGGCAGGTGGGCTGGCAGGCCCTGTACACACTGCTATCAGAGGCTCTTGGGGTGCCTGGCTTCTCCTCCAGCAGACAAGAGACTGAGGGAGGCAGGAAGGTGTGGAAAGAACCTTCAGGATCTGAGGTAGTGAGGAAGCAGAAGGCAGGAGCACAGGAAGGGACAGGCGACACCTCACTGAGCCCAAATGCAGGGTGGGTGTGCGTCGAGGGACAGTCACCAAAGCCCAGAAACCACATCTGCCTCAGGCCGTACCCAGGGCCAGTAGGTGGGCTTCAGGTTTGCTGACCCCGCAGGTGCTCTGGTCTCTTGGGTATGCAGCAGGTTGGCTGCTGACCTTCCCTAATCTAGGCCCACAGACCCAGAGCAGAGAGGGAGAGACCTGTCCTGCTGCCCCCACAACCAGAGAGAAAGTAGCAGGACAGAAGCCAGGACCCTTTCTGCTCTGGCTGAGAAGTATGCTAACTCTATAGCTGCTGAACGTTCCGTAGTTTGAAACCCCAGAGATTTCCCTACCACAGAAGTGCAAACTTCTTAAGGCCTCTTAAGGGTGCTGGGAGGTATTGAATCCTTGAATAGGAAAATGTTGGTGTTTTTTTTTTTTAAATATGGTGTGGGAGGAGGAACTTCAGGCCGCCTCTTTTCTGTCTTTTCTGGTGGGAAGTCCCTCCCCTCCCCGCCATTCCCCACCCCCTCTCCGTGCCTACCTTCAGGGCCAGGGTCAGCTTCTCTCGGAGGCTGGCCTCTTCAGCCTGCAGGTGCTCCAGGTCCTTCTCCAGTGAGGCCCGCTGCCTGAGGGCCTGTTCCCAGAACAGCTCATGCTC